TGCAAAGTGTTGGATGAGAGGATTGCTCAATTGTACAAAAAGTCTCCTAACTTCCTAGGTCCCTCGCTCTGTAAATTTCCTGTGGGTTGATACAGATGTCTATTTTCCAAAGTGTAAGCTTCCCAGTGATGCATTTGTTGGTAACTTGGTAAGCTGTCCACTAGCCATTTTGAAACTTGCCCAAGCTAGATTGGATGTGTGAATCTGTATTTTGGGCTTCGGAGCCTCCAGTGACAATGTTGGGTCCAGGAACGTCCCCATGCTATGCTCCTTCCAGGGGAGTGCAACCCCATCCAGAACATGCCATCTCGCCACCCACTCTCAAAAAATCAGGACACTTAACACCTCTGTCTTTCCAGGATTCAGCCTCAATTTATTAGTCCACACCAATTTATTGGAATTATCACCTCAAAGTACCAGTCTAGCATCTCAGCCACCACTCCTGGATACTATGGTGCTCTGCCTCTGAAACATTGCATGCGTCACTGGGATCAGAACTCTGCAAGCTTCTTTATAACTGCTGATCTGATTTGTGTTATTCCCAATCTACAAAAGGGAGACTTTTTCACACAGCGTACATTTGAGACCTCCAAGCTGATTTGGACCTGAAGACTTCCTACGAGAGGTTGGATGGCCATCTGTCATTGATGCTTTAGTTGAGATTCTGTCAGGGTGCTGTCAGTGGCTCCCGGCTGGTTGCCCAGGAAATTATAAAGACAAGGAAAAGTTTCTTACAGTCCTTTTTTATTTCAAACTTTACAGAGAGACACTATAGAAACCAGCCTATTGGATAACGGCATTTTCCCGAGTGAATCTCCAGCCCCTCTTCTCTCCCACTTCCTCATTCGTCGTCGTCATCATCTCCTCTACGGGTGCTGCTAAGTGCCTTCTTTTAAGGCTTGAGGGGTTCTGGGAGATGGTGGGTCTGGAATGCTTTCTAGTGACAACGTGTTAGTCAGCTGCTGCTCCGGCTCTGCCTGCTCCTCCTCTCCCATTATTTCCCAACTTTTCCCTTCATCTGCCTCTGAGCTGTGACCTCCTGCAAACCACTGTTGTAAATCTATACTGTCTTCCTCTTCCTCCTCCCTGGAAGGATCAGGATAGGGAGGTGTTCTCCACCACTCTTCCTCCTCTGCCCAGCCCCTGACAGATTCCTGCATTGCAGGGGGTTGGACTAGATGACCCTCAAGGTCCCTTCCAACTCTACAGTTCTATGATTGCGGGAGGCTCACATGGAGCATTTTATTTGGCTTGGAGAGGCGGAGTCCAGCTGAGCTCTCGCTTCCATCTGGTGCTGGGCTTCTTGTGAGCTAAAGAGCAGTGATTTTGATTCTGTTCCACATCTAGAATTTTATAGACTCGTGATCAAAATCCTGCTCCTGGGATTAGGTGGATGTGTCGAGTCTCATCCTCAGTCCTGTCTGCAGGAATTGAAATCAGTGGAAATACAATTTTATGCTCCATCCAGAGCTGGGCTCCATGAAAGTCACGGTGAGTTATGGCAACAGAGCATTGCCAGAATCAGTGGACACAATAACATCGATGTGGGCCAAACCAAGGAAATATCTTAATGTGCTCCCCATCCTTTGCCTCTTCTTGCCAGCAGCATTTTTTGACTGCATTGCAAAGTAGTATTTTCCCCCCTTTTGGGATGAGATGCACAGTTGCTCTCCTTTCATATCCAAATGGCACTTCCTCCCAACCCTACTTGGCAGTCACTCGCCGTGCATCTGCACATTTTGCATGAACGGAACAAGTGGTGTGTTTTTATAGCTGGAATGTGGGCAGCCCTCAGCCAGGTAACCCGCTGTGCATTGGCTGCTTCTGATTTGCAGCTCTTTCAAGGTTTGACCAAAATTGTCAGGACACAAGCAAGCTGGAAGACTTTTATCTTGCAGAGTGGGGTGGGGAAAACATTACACAAGCAGAAAAATGGGCTGCAGTCAACAACAACCATACAAACATATGCCACATTTATACACATATGATAATTCCTGCCTCCATCAGTGGTCACCTGGCAGCAGCCATTATATCAAGCTGCAGCCGAGGAAGGAAATAGGGTCACTCCACTAGTGAAGCTGAGAGGCCAGCAACTTTTAGCACCTCCTTCTCTTGGACTGGTAATCAAAACTAAAAACTTGTACCTGAGTTTGCATAACATCGCCTCTTCCCTCCCAATCCATTTTCCTTTCATGCTGTGACTTCTTAGATGGCAAGCATCAGGGCAACATATTTTTTATTAGTGATCTGTAAGCTGCTGTGTAAATATTATTTACTTAGTGATGTTCCAGCCGCTATATAGGCCTGCTTTGGCTAATGAGCAGGATTAAAAATCCTTGAAATGAAAAATTATAGGCCTGTCTCTGGGTTTTTTAGGAGTCTATAAGTGGGACAACAGAGCTCTGGTCTTTGCTCCCTGAAGGGCAGTGACATTTCAGTGCACACTGCCTTTCATCTTGCATAGAACCCACTTCATTTCAATGGGGCCTGTGCAGAACGATTCCTTTCTTTTAAAGCACAGAAATAAAATACTGGTATACAGATGCCAACCAGGTGTTCAATCCTATTTTAGCTAGAACTGTGAACAAATATCCAAGCCTCACTCATTTAACTTCCACAGTCTTGTCTTTATGAGAGAGATTAAACTGTAAAGCAGCCTGAGTCTCAAGCAATGAAGCCATTTTTGCAGAGTTGTTTAGGGGACTGGTTTATGGGGGGTATCTGGTTATTTATCAACATGTAGCTCTCCAAACTATTGTTCTGGGAGGAGGCTGCTTTAAGAACAAGGGGGGCATATATAGGTTGGCTTCAGTTATTAACCCTCCAGCAATTCCACATTAGTCAAGTGCTGGATTACAATTCTCCTAGAATCTAAATCCATTAATCTTGGAGACCTAATCTCCAACTGTAACAAAGTTTACATATATGTAGCTACAGTTTCTTCACTGTAGTCCTTCAATCCCCCTTTTCATTCTTTTTCCTATGTCATCTCTGCCCCAGAGATCAAAGGTAGATGGCCCCAAAATGAAGAGGTCAGTTCTTGATGTCATCCTGGCAAGGGACAGAGGGGAGGCCAGCCTTGCCCATCCTTCGCCCAGTAAAGGTGTAGCTGCTCCAACAGTTGCTTTCCTCTCCCCTCCCCATTCATTTTTCCTTTTGAATCATGTCTATTTGATTTTGAGCTTTCAGGCAAGGACTGTCTTATCTTTAAATACATGTGCTTAGAAAATGGTAGGTGAGTAATAATAATATTGGACTAATGTGCAGATCAGAACACAATTATCCATCAGATTCTGCAGTTCTCTAGATTTTGTGAGACAGTTTACAGCTCAAAAAATGTAACAAAATGTGTTTCCAATGTGTATTTTAGGATAAAATGCTATTTAGAAAAACACTTCCCAGTTGCCTCCCCATTCAGGTTACCCTCAGCGACTTCCAGGAGGGATAGCTCTGTCGGTAGAGCAAAAAACTCTTAATCTCAGGATCATGTGCTTGAGCCCCATGCTCGACAAAAAGATTGCTGCACTGCAGGGGGTTGGACTAGGTGATCCTCATGGTCCCTTCCAACTCTACAATTCTATGATTCTATGATCAAAGGGTTAAGACTCAGCCTTAGACAGGAGGCCAACATTACCAAACTGCACCCCTGCCCACTTAGCACAAGAGGTTACTGAAGGGCCACAGATGAATGGTAGAACTGCATGCAGTTGCTCTGCATGCAGAAGGTCTCAGGTTCAGTCCTGGGCATCTCCAGGCAGGGCTGGGAATGTCCCCTTATCTGAAACCCTGGCGAGCCACTGCCAGTCAGTGTAAGCAATACTGAGCTAGACGGACCAATGATCTTTCTCAGTATAAGGCAGACTCCTGTGCCCCTGTGCTACCTCACTGTGGATATAAGCAGGCATGTCCATGTGGCTACAAATCCCAGAGTTGGGGGCAAGAATGTGCTCTCTATGGGAAACTGTCAATCACAGCACCGTAGGCATGCCACACCTTTAGAAAAACATATTAGAGCTTCGTGCATCTCCAAAAGACATGCTAATCTGCGCTCAATTTCTGGAACGACTCTGATCCTGTGTAAATCACTCACCTGACAGCAGAGAAAGAGGCAGAAGAGCAACCACATGTTGCAGTTTGGAGCTGCACATTTATTTTTATTCCTGTCCTTTTAAAAACTTGTTTGAGGATGCCAGTTTCAAAGCCTGCACATTCCTGCTCCGCTTCCACTATTTCCAGATCTTTGCTCCAGAGACGTTCCCAGAATATGCTCATAATTACTTTGCGTAAACAAAGAGGAAATAATCCAACCCACACTTTTCTTACTTTTTAAATAGGGAATTAAAGCATGGTTCTTAAAACGACAACTACTACAACAACAAATGCCACAGGCAATTAAACTCACTGATGTATAAAGCAGATAGACCCCAGGAAAGTGATGTTCCTAATGAGCTGAGTGGCCCATTCATTTGTTGTACTGATTATTTCAGAGCTAGACTGTTGTGATTCTCACACCACAGCAATGACAGACAGACAGGGCACATGTCAAGAGATGACAGGACAGACCTGGAGAAGAGTACTGATGAAGGAAAATGGGGGAAAGCATGGAGAGGCCGTCCTTTTAAGGCTATCTCTGCTGATACATGCAAATTGGCTTTAAAAATGTACCACAGATGGTATTATACTCCCATAAAGAGTTCCTGCATTGCTTCCAGCTCTTCTTTGTGCTGGAGGGGATGCAGGAACAAGGGTCCCTATTTCCATTTGTGGTGGAAGTGCCCACTGGTACAACTATTTTGGTTTTTGCAGAAATACAGAAGATTATCTGATTCAGTTCTCACCCAAGTTGGGTTTGCTTTCTTCATTTGAATAAATGGATAAATTAAGGCAAAGGATCTATTAATGTTTTTATTAATAGCTATTAATTGCACAATAGTTCAAAAATGGAAAACTTTTCCGATATCAACATTACACACTGGTGGAACAATGTGTGAAATTTAGCCCTTCAAGAAAAACATACCTGGCTTTTAAAATGAAAATGTCAATCTGAGATACAACAGATTGTTTACTTTCATTTTAGTAGCCCGACATCATGTTGCCCGAAATTGGAAATCTTTGGAGTATTTGCAAATGACGCAATGGAAACAAAAATTTGGAACCATGGCACTTTCAGAAAAATTGACCAAGGAAGTTAAAGCCTTAGCTGGAAGGAGAGGCAAGGACAATTTCTCTCAAATGCCTTGTTCCTTGCACAAAAAGCAAGGTCATGCCGAGTTAAAGAAATGAATTTATCATACTTTGCGATAAGTATTCTTGCTGCTGCTGTTGCATACATAAAAAAGTTCTGTCTTTCTTTAGCACCAATTGGCCAACAATGCCCAAGAGAAAGGCCTCTGGTTTCTTTAGAAAGGTATACTTAAATACCTTTTTTAACTCATTATATATCCTTTCCCAGAAGGCCTTAATCTTTGGGCACGTCCACCAAATGTGAAAGAATGTACCTTCAGTTTCCTTACATTTCCAACATTTATTATCGGGCAAATGGTATATTTTTGCAAGCTTGACTGGGGTCATGTACCACCTGTACACCATTTTCATAATATTCTCTTTTAAAGCATTACATGCTGTGAACTTCATACCTGTGGTCCATAACCGTTCCCAGTCAGCAAACATAATATTATGTCCAATATCCTGTGCCCATTTAATCATAGCAGATTTTACCGTTTCATCCTGAGTATTCCATTTTAGCAGCAAGTTATACATTCTTGAAAGTGTTTTAGTTTTGGAATCTAGCAGTTTAAAGAAATGAATTTATCACCCAAGTCCTATATTAAAAGAAGGCTGAAAACCAGATTTCCTTTTTGCTTGTGTCAGAAAGTGGGGCGTCAACCATTCCGGTCCAAATAGTTGTGGTGCAGAAGTGTGTACATCCACAAGTACACAATGCTTTCCGCAATGTTCCCCAGTTCCAGCACCAGAAGCAGAATGTGCCTGAAGCCTTTTCTGTGGGTGAGACTCAACCAGGGAATAAAGAACTCAGCTATTTCATCGTAATCCTGTCCCCTAATTTAAAAAAAAAAAAGTTTGTGTGCATACACAGTTTAACATCTTGTCTTACTGAAAAAGGATGAAGCCAAATAGAAATTGGTTTATGATCTCATAAGCCGGGGGGGGGGGGAGCCATGTGACCCCTGCCAGTTTTGCAAAATCACGTCACTTCTCACCAAGGTGGCCAGAATTAAAAACCTCAGGAATAAAGCTTTGTTTTGTCCAAAAAACCAAAAGCAGGGTGTATTATAACAAATCATAGCTAGAAACACATTTCACAAGAAGCACAACCTGGTAGAATGCCTCTTCCTACTCCTTGTTACAAAGTGTCACAAAGTAGTGCTTATTTAGGAGCATTGTAGTGTTTTGTTGCTTTTTTAAAAAATCTGGATTATATTGTTGAGCAACACAAGGAACAGTTGTGACATCTTGCTAAACACATAGATAGCACTGTGGTTCTCAAGCTGGGAGGGAAGCCCCCTGGGTGATGCAAGACACCTAGCAGTGTACAGTGAAGTTCTAGGGTAGAAGAAGATCCCTCCAGCATGCACAGCCTTCACTCCCTCCCTCCTTCCATCCTGCTTTCCTCCCCTCCCCCATTCCCTCCCTCCCTGATATCCAAAGTTTTGCACTGCAACTGCTAAACAGCTCTAATTCCATGGGCGTAGCCAGGATTTTTGTTAGGGGGCCAGGCCTTTTGTTGTAAGGGGGCAGAACCTCAGTCAGTTTTATTTATTTAGGGGGGCAGCTGCCTCTCCCTGCCGCCCCCTTGGCTATGCCCACGGCTCTAACACGCCAGCTCATTTGTTCATCTGGCAGACAAAGGCTTGCGAAGCACTAAGTCAGGCATCCCCAAACTCAGCCCTCCAGCTGTTTTGGGACTACAACTCCCATCATCCCTAGCTAACAGGACCAGTGGTCAGGGATGATGGGAATTGTAGTCCAAAAACAATTGGAGGGCGGAGTTTGGGGATGCCTGCACTAGGTAATACCAGGCTACCTGATGTCATTGTGACACCAGTTGATTGACAGGTGGGTGGAACCACCCACCTGCCAGTCTTGGCTTACAGAGGTAGGTGGGTGGGTGAAATAGGGATTGGGCCCTCCAGCTCAATGCAGCTTTGCAGTCCTGGTCCTAAGCCAAGTCGGACTTGGGAGGTGGTTTGTAGTGGTGATCCCTTGATTTGCAAGACTAGCAATCGTGTACAAGCCACTTCCTGTTCTAGGCAACATCTGTGTATTGACAATGGCCATTCCATCACCCCTCATTTATATGAATGGGGTTCAAGTCCTGCCTGGAACAAGACAACATCAGATACACTCTGGTTTGTTTACATGACTCCAGCTGTGTCTGGTCACCGTGCAATCACATTCCTCAAGGGGCTTGCACCATTCTTTCTTGCCCACTCCAGGAACACTCAGCAGTCTCCTTCATGTAATAAGAGAAAGAGACAATGAACTAACTAGCTAAGGCATGAATGATTCATGTGAGACCAGAACAGAATCTGTTGCGCCAGAATCAATGGTCCATCTTGCTCATCTCCATTAAGAAATGGCTCTTAGTCATTCCTGGAGGTCAGATTGGTCAGAAAGTCCCAAGGGCAGCTTTTGGGGAAGTTACTTTTTTTTAAAAATGCTTTGATTCACATCTTATTCATCAGAACAAGGAACGCCTAGTGATTGAACTGAACTTCAACTATCATGCACTGTGCTCCCCAGTAAACTACAGAATGGCCCAGACTACAAGGAAACTTATCTTCTCTCAACCCCCAAGAAAACTCTATTTCCCCCATAACATTGAAGAGAATTCTGCTAAGCCTCTCTCTAAATCAATCTCTTCTTTTGCTCCATGACACAAAACCAAAAATTGAGACCAAGAACTTGCAAACTCTTTGCGCAGGAAAAATCAGTGTAGGTAAGAAATCCCACTGAATGCAACAAGACAATGTTAAGATCTGCCAGGGGGGCTCTCTAGGCTACAGTGGCATTCTTAGACAAAGCCCGCTATTTGGCAGGGAAGATCATTCTCAATGGAGGAAGTAACAAATTCTGTTTTAAGCTTCTTTTCTGTTGATCTATTATTGTTTTAAAGGAAAGAAAAGGTTAGTTTTTCAAGGTAAATGTGAAAGGAACATCAAACCAAATCTGGGTGAATCATAAAATCAAAGCAGGCAGTGTGCAGTGTGCAGACTCAGAAAAAGGATTGGGGGAAGTACTACACTCATCTTCTCTGACCATTGGGCATGCTGGCTGCAGGGGCTGCTGGGTGCTGGAGTCCAGCATCATTTCCTGGAGGGCCGCAGATGTCCCTCACGCCTGCTGTAAATGACTGTGCTCATTTGCAGTTTTGCAGTGTGTTGTGAGAAAACAAAAGGCCTCTTGATTCATTGACAAGAAAGGAAGGAGGAAAGTCAGACCACCAAAATACTATAGGCAAACTCCCAGCTCACAGAGCAGAGTGAAAAATAATTAAGACAACTTTGGAAGTGGGGGGGAAGAAAACAATTCCAAGGAGCTGCCAAATTTTCTCAAGTCTCCCACTCATGTTCTTCTCCCTTTGGACCAGGCTTGTAGATTGTGCTGGCTGCAGCAAGGAGAGCCATGACCCTTGGCAGGGCTGCCTCTGCTCCCAGGGTTTCAGAGGACAGGGTGGGATGCTAGACACAGAGGAAGAAGGGAAGGATGCAGGGAAGCTGGCTTGGTGGGTCTTTTGTATGCCAAACCTGCTTCCTCAACAAAAGCCAGGCTCTTCGGCTGCATTGGTCATGCATGAAAATCAATTGGACCATCTACAGCTGCTGCCATGGCTACCACTGTTCGAATATAGCTGTGAACCCATCTAGTCCAGCATCCTGTTCTCAAATGCTTGTGGGAAACTCTCAAGGAGAATACTTTACCCTCATGTGGTTTCCAGCAAATGGCATTCAGAAGCATTACAGTGGTACCTCGGGTTAAATATTTAATTCGTTCCGGAGGTCCGTTCTTAACCTGAAATTGTTCTTAACCTGAAGCACCACTTTAGCTAATGGGGCCTCCTGCTGGCGCCGCAGAACGATTTCTGTTCTCATCCTGAAGCAAAGTTCTTAACCCGAGGTACTATTTCTGGGTTAGTGGAGTGTATGTAACCTGAAGCATATGTAACCCGAGGTACCACTGTACTGCTTCTTATCATAGAAACACAGCATAGTCATCATAGGGTTGCCATGTTTTAAAGAGCAAAAAAGAGGACACATTTGCTGACTTCTACTTTTAACTATGGATCGCTATGATGACTCTCATTTTATATACCCATGAAAAAGAGGACATGTCCTGGAAAAAGAGGACATATGGCAAACCTAAGTAGCCAGTGATGGCTTTCTCTCCTCCATGAATTTGTCCAACCCTCTTTTAAAGCCATCTAGGTTGGTGGCCTCCTGGGATGCGAGTGGAGCTGTGGTCTAAACCACTGAGCCTAGGGCTTGCCGATTGGGAGGTCAGCAGTTCGAATCCCCACAAGGGGATGAGCTCCCATTGCTCGGTCCCAGCTCCTGCCAACCTAGCCGTTCGAAAGTATGCCAGTTCAAGCAGATAAATAGGTACTGCTGCAGCGGGAAGGTAAATGGTGTTTCTGTGCGCTGCTCTGGTTTTGCCAGAAGCGGCTTAGTCAATCTGGCCACATGACCCGGACAAACTGTCTGCGGGCAAACGTTAGCTCCCTCGGCCAGTAAAGTGAGATGAGCGCTGCAACCCCAGAGTCGTTCACAACTGGACTTAACTGTCAGGGGTCCTTTACTTTTACCTTTTTAGGTTGGTGGCCATCACTGCCTCCTTAGTTTAACTGTGCACTGCATGAAGCAGCACTTTCTTTTACCTGTCTCAAATCCTCCAAGATTCAGCTTCATTGGATGTCCACAAGTTCAAGTGTTATGAGAGGGGGAGAAATACTTTCTCTAGCCTCTTTTTCCATGCATTGCATTATATATAGAGAGATTAATATTGGGTGGCAACAGGGCTATATTTTGCAATGCAACTTCTTTTGACTGCCCCCAGCACCCCGCGCGAGAGGAATACTAATCGCCATACGGTTTTGCACATCTGGGCCTACATCTTTATCGCTTGTATCTTCTGGAAAGGATGGAAATGTATTAATAGATTTTCAGCGCAGCCCCCTTTGTTTATTCCTTGTAAACTCCCCCCTCCCCCACTAGTCACAGCAAATGAAAGGCCTAATCGTCTCCGCTCTTATCTGATTGGAAAACAGATTTAATTACATCCACGGATGGCTTGCGATGGCTTCATCTGTGGGTGCAGAGGGTAAGCAGCCAGGACTGCTGGCTCCTCCAAAACCTTACAAAGGAAAGGAAGCCTTCTTGGAAAACAATAATATCTTCAAAGGCCAGTAACCAACCACAAACACACACATACACACACACACACACACACAAAAAACCACCACACACATGCACACAGCTGTCCTCTGTGAAGGATGCTCTGCCATTCCAGAAAGAAAATGGAATAGGTGAGGTGCGGAGAGAGGATCAGCTCCTGTGGGTTTGTGTTTCTTTTAAAGGCTAAGAGTACAGCTAAATGGAAAGTGGAGCCATTGCTGGGAAATTTTCTTTTCCAGGAAACTCCTCTGTTTTCTTCAACATTCTCTGAGCAGCTCCAGTTCAAACATACATCAAAAGGTGTAAAATTGAAGCATGGTTTAAGTGTCCCTTCCAGACAGCAAGCACTGGAGACAGGCTGTAGCTAGAGCGCCACGTTCCAAGTTATGACACGGGGGGTGGGGGGAGCAATGACACCTCATTGCAGGTGTTACTTCTCCCAACGAAGGTGAGGCAGAATTTCTGTGCTCATCCATGCTCTACACTGCTAGTCTTCAACTGGTGTGTCCTGACCCACTAGCGTGTCACAACGTGATCCAAGGTGGGTTGCAATAGGAACACCACCTCCATGCAAATACATGATAAAAGATTAATAAATGAGTCCCCAAATACGTCTTTGGGTTAAAAGTGGGTCCTGCGT